AATTGTGACTTCTACCCTGGGAACACGACAAAGTCTTTCTTCACAAATGCAAAGAAGACAGGAAACTCATGGTTCCCACAAAGCAGCTTTGACTCTTACTAGATGTGATAATTTCATTAGCAGGATCCCAGACATCAGAGCATGGATCAGTGAGCCAGACTAATAAGCCACAAGGGCTCCTGTCCACCCATGGAAAGTGGCTCATCTGAGTAGGGTCCAGTCTGTGCTTTGTCATCCTGGGCCAAGCTTTTCCTTGCTTAACATGAGTTTCACAGGAGCAGATATGGGATCTCAGCCTCCACCTCTGCTCCACCACTGGAAGCTCCAAAAGAGGACTCCTGACCATTTGTCTCCAGCCCATCCCCAGAGACAAATCAGCTGGTGCAACTGACTGCTCAGACCCTCTAATCCCTGCTGTGCCTGCAGAGCCATGCAGACACCCCTGCGCTGGCCCGCAGCCAGCCGGGACGCCAGCAGCAAGCTCAGCGGCAGCAGCAACCTCCGCAGAGCAAACCACCGGAGTATTTACCCAGCTTCTTGGGTGGGTTTTGCATCCGGCAGAGTTTTGTACTCTCTCAGCCATGCTTCTCCTACTCCCTGAGCTGCCTGGTTTCAAGCACGCCGAGGTTTGTCTGCTCTTTGTAGCAATGATGGTAGCCACCGCAGTTCGACAAAGCCTTCAGCCATTCCAAAGAGCCCATTTTCTTGTGATGTTACTACAGTATATTTGGTGGTATCCTGAAGTGCTGGATTGCTCTTTTAAATAAGGCCTTCAGACTCTAGAGTTGTATAATTACATGCCCTCACCATATTAACTTCCAGCTCCTAATCTCTCATTACTACTATGTCAGAAGATGCTACAAAACAGCAAGTTGAAGCTGTGCTGTGGCTGACCACCTGGTACCAGAAGAAAGCACATTCAGATATGTTGTAATGAAGGTATTGCTGAGATTTATGGTTAGCATGTGGGAGGTGGAGCCCTTTCATACCAAGGAAAGAAAACAGATCTAAGGCAAAGTAGTCAGGGCTAGATATTACCATGATATGGGGCCTGCCCAATGGCCCAGCTTTTCTTCTGGTGCATGACGGTGAGTTTTCATAAAAATGGCCAGAGTTACCTTCTCTATGGCCACCTACTCACTGCTTCTGAGAGAGAAGCCTATGCATTCACAGGTGACAGCTTTGCCAAGTGGGTCAAACAAAATCAGGAGGCTGGAAATTTTCTTTAGGAGCAAATTGCCCTAAGTCTATACATATTAGGCCAAAATACATGTAAAATTTCCATTACAAGTCAATGGGCCCATCATTTGTCTGTACTAGGGTGTGTGAGTCAGAGGAGCTCAGCTTAGTGCTTGCCTTTGCTTCATGCCTTAGTTTCACTACAGATGGATATGTGTAAATTGCTCCAGCAGCATGTAAAACCATGGAGGGTTTTTTTAAAAGACTGATCATTAGACAAAGGAAATAGAAAGGCTGGTGGAATGGAACCTAATTAATTATGTCTATCATACATGGAAGAAGTAAAATGAAAATGTGAATTGCTGAAATGAACAATAAAGTGAACCTTTGTTCAGGATTAGAAATAGGCAGTTGGGACCTAATTATACAATGCAATTTCTGAGTAAGCGGATCCTGCAGAAATAAATGCTGTACAGAAATAAATCTGCTGCATAGAAAGTAATATATGAGTTAGAACACAAAGGATTTGGACTCCTAACAAAAAGGTATTTAGAGATTACTGATGTTGGCTGTCATTCAAAGCTTACCCATTGAAAAGAAAATAATAATAGATTAATAACATGAAACATTATTGAGCAGATGATGCCAGTAGGACTGGGAACAAGGAAATGTCACAGGTGTCCTCTCCTGCAGGAGGGCTCTGATGCCCATTACAGGCTGCCAGAGGGCAGATTCCCCATGAGGCTGGGGATGTGAAGCACCCTCCTTACCCCTTCTGTGCTGGGAGCTGAGGTCAGAGGGTGCCAGGCTGCGTGACGGAGGAGCAGCTGGTACCTCTTGTGCCGCGATGGCACCTGGCTTCAGGAAGCTGAGGCTGGAGGTGCCCGGACCGGGCTGTGCTCCCCAGCGCTCAGCCTGGCTCCAGTACAACGCACAGCAGCTCCTGCCCAGCTGGGGCTTCCTCCTTCTTCCCCTGGAAACCAAAGCCTGGGGATGGGGGACACTGGCAGAGACCGGCTGTTTGAGGAGCATTGAGCCTCCAACGTGCTTTCTGCATGGTGCAAACACATGGAGGACATCCCGGTTGCCTTTTACGAGTTTAAATCTAGTCTTGTTGTATTTCCATGCCTGTAGAAGAAGAAAGAAAGAGGGATATCTTTTGTCAGTTCATTCCCAGGCTCATGGGGTTAGGGCTGCGGTACTAGGCAGCCGACATTTCTGCAGCAGCGAAGATGAAAGTCAGACAAAATAATCCAAAGAAGTGCTTAACTGTGACTATTAAGTCCCAAAGGATTTATCAGAGTTTACTTTCCTCTGACTTCTAGGAGACACTTCGGCTGAAGTCCATTAAGCAAATTAAAAAGCAGAAGGAAAATAAACACAGATTAATGGAGATAGGAATTTTATGAAGGAAAGGAAACAGCCAGACCTTGTGACAAAGCTCCTGGGCTTCTATTCAGGTTTTAAGGCCCCCAGACCTTATAAATGGAGGGGATTATTCTCTTCACGTTGCCCTGCTGGTAGTCGTAAAAGAGAGTTAATAGAATTTTTTTTCCCCCACTGAGAAGTCCTGTAGAAACTCGAGTAATAATATAATCCATAATGTTTCAGTTCAGTGCGTGACATGCAGCTATTTGTTCCTTTGTTTCCAGGCAGGGAATCGAGCTGTAAATCTTGTAGCAACACAGATACTGTACTGGCTTTGTGGCATTTTATCTCCTGCTGAAACTGAAACCCATCTGAGCAGCTTCCCACACAATTAGGGACTTGCATGTCAGAACATCCAGGCAGGATTTCTGTATTTATTACTTTGGCATCACGATTAATATTTAATCCAGAGGAGGTATCACAGACATGTTTGAAACCTCATTTTGCTTGTTAAAAAATACTTTGAAACCAAGAAGATGAGCAAATTATGTCATTATGGAGCCCTGTTATTTATTATCTTTAGATAGTTTAAATTAAAGCAAATGCTCCCATAAGGGGGAGATTCCTTCTGCTGCTTCTCTTCTAAGTGATTTTCTAATTATTGGGTTTATTAGTGTTCATGGCTGAAAAAAAAGAGATACCAGATGGTAAGACAACAGTGAGTAAACAACTCCACCTTGCTGTGTGGCCAGGCCATGGTTCAGCCCTGCGGTGGCACCAGCCCGTGGGGCAGAAGTGGCTTTTGTTGACTCAGCTGGAGATGCCAACACGCCAGGAGCAAGCACTGACCACGCTGGGGCATGGAGAAAACCTCTTCATGTCCTCACCATAAATCTGAAGGAAAAAGGGCATGTTCATGTTTCTTTTTACTGCCTTGACTGGAAGACCCTCTCGCTAATTGTCTTTACAGCATCAAAACTGGTACAAGTGTGTGACTCATCACTTGCCTCTGCTCATCGATTGATCTGTGTGATAATTCTTGGTTTGCCGCTTATTCATGGGAAACTCCCTGTAGAAATTAAAAACATTTTGGACACAAATTTACTTGAATTTTGTTCATGGGATCCCACCTCTGCCTGGCTGGATGCATTGGAAGCAATTCTCCTATTATTCTCGATGAGAAGGTGATATTTCTCTGTGTGTGCAAATGTCCTGCAATATGAGCTTAAAATATAAAATATACCCCTGCTAGAAGACTCACTTGCAGGATTAGTTTTCAGGTGAAACAGAAAACGAACCCCAAAGGGCTGTCCGTGAAAAGCACAGCCACAGCTACAATGCTCCCTGGCTGTGCTGGATCCCTGTTCCTGCAGCATGGGGTAGGGCTTGTGCGGCTTCATCCCCAGATGATGGGGCAGGGAGTGTTCTGGAAGGGCAAGCAGTTGCCAGGGGACATCCCTCTGGGATGCCCACTCCAGGCCTGGCACTGAGCCCCGCCGCTGGAGGTACCAATTTCTTTCTCTACGTATATATGAGGGTTTTATTAAGCAGCCCCTACTGCCCTTGCCCACAGAGGACGATCACCAGAGGCAGCACTGGAGGTACCACTCGCCTCTGCCCCTTCCTGCAAACCGCTCTGCAGGGTGCAGGATGGCAAATCTCTGCAAATGGCTCTGGCTGCACAGGCACCTGGGCTTAGCCTGCTGGGGCTGCGGGACTGCACTGCATTGCACAGCCAGAAAGCAAACGGCCAGGCAGGTTTGGTAGAAGAGGGTGCACAGGGAGGAGGAAAGGAAGAAAGGAAGGATGAGAGAGAAATAATCCCAAGGAAAGGATTTTAATTCTGTTTGTTAAAGTGCAGATTTGAAGCCTTTCCTCAGATAAAATCCCTGGACTTGAAGGATGTCACTCACTGTGCGTGCCGGTAATTGTGTAAAAGGCTGATGTGCAAACTGGGGCTAAGTGTTAGTGAGTTTGGGTATGGCTTCCCAACAACAATGAGGTCACTGCACATCACGGCTTCTGCTCAGAGGCTGACCAGTACCAGGGTAAGAGGCTGAGATGTCTGAGCAGCTACAGCATGTAATGCTCCTCTTAGCGGGTCCCATATGTCAGCTTTCCAGTTCCCACGGGACACCTGACCTTTAACCACTAATATAAGAAAACTGCAAAATGGCAGTGCTTGAAGCTGTGTTTTCCATGTCTGGACCGATAAAACCTGTTTGTGGCCTGGGCTGTCCGGCACAGCCACTGTGTACGTGCATGCTTGCACACATGGGTGTGCACACCCCAAAGGCAGGCAGGAGCAGCCTGGGGTCACCAGAGCCAGCTGTGTCACTACCTGCTGGGGAGCTGGCCTTGGATATCTGACTGTGCTTTACTGCCTGCGTATGCCTTGTTTTTACCTTTTCCCCTGGGGATCCCAGTACGCGAGAACCAGCAGCCCTGCAGGAATGGGGTCTCCCCTGCTGCTGCTGCTGCTGGTGGCCTTGCTGACCACCATCACCAAAGCCAAGGCGTTCAGCCGGTGTGAGCCGGCTCACGTGCTCCAGGAAGAGGGGCTGGATGGCTACGGGGGCTACAGCCTTGCCAGCCGTGAGTTTCAATCCCGTCTGCCCACTGCCTTTCCTTCCCAGCTGCTGCGGCACAGCCTGAATGCCTTCTGCCCCTGCCCAGGGCTTTGCGTGGCCTTTAACGAGAGCATCTTCAACACGGCAGCCCAAAGCATTGAAGCAGATGGCGGCGCTGACTACAGCATCTTCCAGATCAGCAGCCAGCTGTGGTGCATCGATGACTGCAGCCCCTCAGATAACCACTGCAGGATGGCTTGCAGGGATACCACAGCACTGCTCCCCCAGAGCCAGCCCCAGGAGTGGAGGCAGCAACCTGAGCCCTCCTCCTCTGCCCAACTTCACCCCCTGGCCAAAATGGAGCCATGGAGACATGAGGGGCCCAACCTGGGCAACCCGATGCCTGTGGCCACAGGAAGTTCAGGGTGATGAATGGCTGGGTCCAACTCCTCTTTCGGTCTGTGCAGAGTGTGGGTAGCCCTGTTGATTCCTGAGGCTGGGGAGGGAGAGGCCATGGCCATTGCCAGAGGCGTTTCTCCCAGACACCATAGCATCGCTGGCCCCAAGCCTTCTCCAGTGTTTCACCTTGCACCTCTGGGGCAGCTCCCTTCCCTTGCCCCATATCCATCCTTTCCTCTCCTGGGATACTAGGGACCTCAGGACTCTCTGGGTGTTTTGACAGTAGGTGGAAGATAGGCAGCCCTGATTTTGGTGGATTGTGATGTGGGGCTCCATGAGATAAATGCATCCCCCCGGTTGTGGAGTGAGCAGTTGGGAAAGTGATCTCCCAAGGCTGTGTTACTGCCAGGCAGATCCAGGTCTTGGCTTGGGGTCTGCCACCAGTGGGGAGCTCCCAGGCAGACACGGGAAGGGTTTTGCTGTGTCTGACCAGCAGACATCCTGCTATATGAGAAAACCCAAGGTCTGGGAGGCTGGAGCTGAAACTTCCCTTCCTGTTCAGACCAAAACCTCCTTTTCCAGATAGGCAGAAAAACTCTGTAATAGCTTTTTTCCCCAGCAGAGCAAGCAGGAAGAGATTGAAATATCATAAGCATAGATGGGTCTGCCTCCCATTTCCCCCCCTCCTTCCGTCTCTCTCTCACATGTGATTACAGAGGCAGGCACAGCAGCATTTGCAGGGGAAAACATACATTTTTGGTTGTTGCTGGCCATGCAGAAGCAGATGAGGGTGCCTGCCTGGCAGCATTCAAGTACGTGAGGCTGATGGCAGCCCAGCAGTGGGGAGAATGAGCAGCATCCAGGCCCCCACCAATGCCCAGGACTGCTCGAATGCTTGGCCCTCACTGCACCCGGCAGGGAAATCTGCTCCGGGCTGGTGTCCTGCCCTTGAGTGAGCTCACGGGCCTGTGCTTCTCTCCCTGCAGATCTGTTATTGAGTAACGTAACTGGTGATATCATCTGTGCCAAAAGAATTGTGAGAAACCCACAAGGAATGAATGCCTGGTAAGGGGCTTCGAGGACAGTTTCTTTGGCAGGGCTCGTGTGTGTTTCTGAAGGGGCATGGCTGCCCTTCGCCCAACTGTCACACAACGGCAGCACGGCCACACCAAAGAGGAGGAACCACAACTTCAAGGCTTTGCAGATGCGTTGGAATGGAGAGACAAACTCAAACCGCTTCAGTCTCTGCAAAACATCTCACAGGAGAGACTAGGGGGGAAGGAGCAAAGAAAAAAATGTTTCAGAAAAAAATGTCAGGTGAAAAATGAATGGTCAGTAAACAGCCCACCAGCTAGTAGGTTAGCCCTTGAAGATTTCTCTCTCTCATGCTTTCAAAGTCCTTCAGAGAGCTCTTTCCCCCGCTTCTTGCTGTCTCTTATCTTAGCTGGAAGCTAGCATGGAAGCAGTTTTTCCCAGAGCATTTGAGAGCATTAATCACTGAAATATCCTGATGAATCTAGATGACAGCCCTTGCTTGGTGCAGCCCTGAACCACCTCTGGAACTCTGGGCTGCTATAACATAGGAAGCCTGTAAAGGCAGAGTAACCAACAGGCTCAGAAATCAGAAGTGGGGGCAGAAGACAATTCCAACGATCATATAAATATGCGGTTTTCTGAAGTCCCGAGGCATTTTGTGCAAAAATAGTGGCGTTAACCACTGAATCTTGAATACGTTCCAAGTTGAGGGACAAGATTCTGCCTTCAGATTCCCCCACCCCCTCCCTGACATTGCAGTTGGACTCATTAGTCATTTTTGCTTCCTGTGGTGGGCTGCTGCGAAGCCTGGCTCACCGCAAAAGCAGCAGCATTTCTGAGTAGAGGTGAGGTAAGTAATTTGTGCAGTAAACACAGGGAACGGACTCTGGGCCCCTGTGGTGATCATTGCTGTCGCACAGTCCTCTGTGTGCTCAACGCACTGTGCTTAGTTGCAATGTCCCAGCGAAGGAGGGACCCTTGCAGTGGCAGAAGGTGGCAGGACCCGCTGTTGCAGTTCATTGTTCCTGGCTAGGACTTAGAGAGAGCTCGGGTGGCATCAAGGGACAGCAACGGTTGCACTCCTCCATGTGAGACACTCGGCCAGATTTGGAGGGTCTGCAAGTCCTTCTCCAGGGCTAGTGATGGGAGGTCTCTCATTGGGAAGAACCCTACAAAAACCAGAACCTGATTATATTGGATATGAATTATATCAGTCTAGTACCTAAATAGTCTCTTTTTGCTTCTGTCCTCAGGGAGGGCTGGGCAATGCACTGCAAGGGACAAGAGCTGTCTGAGTGGGTGGAAGGATGTGACCTATGAGAAAGTCCCCAGCTCAGCTCCACTGCGGTTGATGGGGGTTGCCTCTCCTCTCCTGCAAGGGGAGAGCTTCCCCCTCATGGTACAACACTTCTCAGTTAGTATTTGCAAACTCAATGCATTCCACAAGGTATAAAATAACTTTAACAACATAGCATGTAGAGTTTTTTTAAAAAAACAAACTCGACTTTTCATTTTCACATGTGATTTAGGGTCCGGCCCCAAAAGATTTTCCCTGGGAGCTTTTTTGTGCATGTTTGAATGGGGCAAGGGGGTGAGGGTCAGGAGCTGCATAGATAGCAATACCCTTGGACACAGCTGATTTCTTTGGAGTTTTCAAAGAAACTGAAAAAGGGAAGACCTCAAAAAAGGATGGAAATCTGCAAGCTTTCCAACGTCTCTTATTTCTGTATTTCTAATAAAAAAGCAGCAAAACACAGCCTAGAATCTTACTAGGTAAAACTTGTATCCAGTCAGCAATGTAACCTTTCCCTATAGAAAGCCAAAGGTCTGCACAGCCCTTTCACAACTGCCAGGGCAAAGGAGGTGAGCAAGCTCTCCTGCCTGCAGTGCAGCTTGTGCCATAACTGGCTGGTCCTGCAATTAGATTTCTACAGCAGTTCCTAGCTGTGCATAGAAGCTAGCCCTGTGCTGGTGGTGTTCTTCCATTGCGGAAAGGCCACAGTGCAGTGGAAGGAGATGTCTGGTGCAGGAATGCTTGCGACTTGCAGCTGGGAGGATTCGATGCAGGGACAGAGAGGGTTAAAGAGAAACAGTGGTGTTGGTAGTGGCTGTCACCACAGATGAGCATTAGCTCTGTCTGTTGTTTTCCTTGAACGCTTGGGAAAGTACAAAAATACAAAGGAGCATTTTTTTATTATGTTGTAGTGGCTGTTCTTGTGTTTAAAAGGAGAAAAGAGAAAAAAAACCAGAGCAACCTATTTGTTGTCAGTAGATGGGGTCTGAATCAAAATCTTACCTTCTAACACTGCCGAGCTTTGAAATCCAAGCTTAGGTCTAGAGATGTAAGCCAAGGGTGGATGCTTTAAATGTGTGATGATTGCCAGTTCACCAAAAAAATTTCAGTCAAATCAAAATGCCAGATCCTAACAAAAAAATATACCTTAATCTTTGGAAGATCCTATTCATTCCCATTCTAAGGAAAATCTGGGGAAATTTCTATGTAGTACCAGGAATTAAGGCCAAAATTTTCATCTGTGACTTAGTTGCACATTTTCTGTGTTTTCTGGAGATGGTGGATATCTCAAATACTTGAATGTTAGTGCTGGAGTCCTGGAGCAGATATGGAAACACAGAGGAACTGTATTCACTTCTGGATGTGATCAGCCACAGTTCTGTCAAACCATGTCCCATAGAAGCTCTGATATCTTCCTCACCAAAATATGTAGTTGACTCATGGCAGAGCTCTGAGGGCACAGGGCAGCTGCCTTGTGTAAGGTGTGACAGATAGCCTGTCTCTTCCCTTTCACTTAAGGCAAAAATCTATGTGTCCATCATCAGTTTTACCTGGAAACCAAGTAAGGAACTTGCTTTCAACCGTATCCATCTGAAATCCCAAGAAAAGCAGAGTATGTTTTCCTTGTTTTCTTGATGAAAGAAAATTTTCCCTTTATTTCTAGGAGGTAGTATTTGCAGGGGAAGTTTGGTAATCCTTATGAAAAAACAGTATCCCCCAACCTGCAGACCCCTGGTGACACGAGGACTGCAGGTAATCTGGCATGCTGTCATGTCTGAGCACTGTAACTACTTGAGGACCTTGCCAGCACACATGGACAACAGGGATCATGAGATCATCTATAGGCACATTTTAGAGGAACAAGAAACCTCCTACCAAGATAGAAACAAATTAAATAAAGAGCCTGATCCTGTTTCCCCATGAATTTAAAGGAAGTTTTACCACTGATTTTAACAGCAAACAGGACTGACCTTGTAGGGTATGTCATCAAACAGCTCCAGATTGCTTGAGAGTATTTCAACGCTTCCATTATACGCCCCATCTTTCAAACTTGGACATAAATATTCACTTGGCAGAAATCTCAGCCTACAAGCAAATTAGGAGATTTGTTTTTAACATTTTTTCCACTCAAAAAGGAAAAAGAGAGAGAGAGAGAAAGAGCTCTTCTTGGATGTTTTTAAGTTACTGCTGCTATGCAATAACATTTACTGTCTTTGCACTACCCTATCTTAAAAAATTAATTCACTTATTCTTAAAGAAAAAAATGCAAAATGAATTCATTAACTGATGTTGCAACCACTATTTTCAGCTGCAAGGGAGGTAAGTGATACCAGGGGATCAGCCAGCAATCAGGAAGCCACTGCTAGAACAGGGACGGTCACTCGGCTGACAGGTGGCTTGTGGGCCACAAGAGCTTGTGAGCCACCAGGCCATGGCTCACAGCACCAAGAGCAGGGCTGTGTGGGACCAGAGCTGCTAGGTGATCCACGTGCGTGCATCAGGATGGAGAAAGGCAGCCGGGGCTGTTGGAGCCAGTGTTATGTACCACCCTAAAACCCAGTTGTGTGTCCAGCCAGCCATCCCTGCAGTGAAGCTGGGGGCTTTGCTGTCATCTTCTGGAAAGCTCTTTGAGTCCAAATTGTGTAGCTGCTATAGGGACTTGAAAGTGTTGGTATGAGGTTCATGAGGTCAGAGAGGAGAGCTGGTCCTCTGCTCCATGATCTCCTCCATGATCTCTAACCCCACACCCCCAACTGCAATGAACAAAGCCAGGGGTGCCAGACCCAGCTGCGCTGTGAATGCAGAAGACATCCCAGAGCACCAACATGTCCCTGCCAAAGGTACCACTGCAAACTCAGTTTCTCTGTTTACTTTGCTACTGGCCAAATGTCACTACGTTCTTCCAACCTGAGTATGTAGCCAGATTTTCTGATCCTACAGATTATGTTTATTAGGAGAAGAAACTGAAGATTAATTTAGCTATTTCTTCAATGCAATCCCCTTTCTTTACAGACTTACAGAGAGCGTACTGGGCACAGGACAACTCATGCAACCAGGGACAATTATTTGCTCCCAATTCAAACCAAAATTTCTTCTGGTGCCCTCCCAAATTGCTCCTTCTGTCAAAGCCGCTCTGTGTGGTCTGTGTGCCGGCTGCCAGCCTGCCCCTCTTCTACATCTGCTTCTGGGCTCCCTGCATCCCTCTTTTACACATGCACACACACCCCCAGACACACACACTCCATCACTGGTCCCCTGTGTGTGCAGGCTGGGGGCAGGTACTTGCCATCAGCCACAGACCAGCTCCTTTCCAGGCTGTGCTCCCTGCCCACTGGTGTCCTGCTGTTACTGCTACTGATCCCAGAGCTTACATAAAGAAACACAATTGTTTTTACATAGATCCTGAGGGAGAGGCTGGCAACTTCAGGGTAATTTAATCTAAACCAGGATAAAACAGTAAATATTGTTGTGTTTGCATAAGGATGAACTAGGGTGAGTAAAGCAGAAGATGCTGAGGAAAGAAACACCTGTATAATTCATGAGGAGGGGAAATATTGAAAAGGTACAACAGTTTGTAGTTTGGTAATCTACATGGAAAAATAATATATTGTTAAAGAGACTGAGTAATCTGTTTAATCCTTTCAATTGGTTTAATCCACAAACCCTCACCCATATTCATGGCCTCTGCTCCTGTGTCAGTGATGTTAAACAGGCCAATCTGGTCCCACGCACTCAGCAACGTGTGGAGCCAGTCTAGCACAAAATCAGTGTTTCTGTTCACCACTGCTCTCTCCAAGACATCTCTCTGGGACTGAGGAGCTCAGCCTGGTGGCCTGATCAAAAAGATCAAGGGATGATGTGATTACAAAGCGTAAGTACCATCATGGGCAGAAATCCTGCACATGGCAGAGCTCTTTAATCCAGGGGAGAAAAGCATAACAAGAACTGATGGCTGGGACTTAACTCCAGGCAAGTTCACCTGAGAAACAAGTTATAAACTTTTAATCAGTGAAAGGAGATTTACAACCAGAATAAGCAAGCAGAAGAAATGGTGGCTTCTCCAGCTCTTGACATCTCCCGACAGAGACCAGACGCTTTTCTGGGTCTGAGATGGTGGAAGGCAGCTCCTGGGGCAGTGCCAAAGGGGACACAGGTGAAATCCTGCAGTCAGGTGTCAGCAATGGCAACTTACTCACCCTCAGGCTGGATGAGGCTCAGATTTTACCCTGCTCCAGATCGGCTTTGTGACACTTGCCATCCCTCCTGGATGAGACAGCTTGCTGGTCCACAGCTTATTGCCCCATCCCCAGTACCTACTGCATGTCCTGCCTTCATGGAGCAGGACCCGGTGCCATCACATGGGGACCAGGCTGTCACTTTGCCTCTTGCTGCTCTCTGTGACCCCTCTACCCACCATCCACAGGGAAAGGGAGAGATGGTCAGTCCTGCTGATGCTGACAGGGTCCCATGGACTCCGAAGGGGAGGGGAAGAAAAGACCATCCTGGACATCTAACAGCTAGAAGCGGGGAAGTCTTAGGGGCCCCTGGGTTCAGTATTTTTGTCTAACTTGCATGGCAGTGGGAAGTATCAGTCATGCTTTCGATCTCAGACGTTGTAATTGAATTTCCAAGATTATTAGATACTGGGTGAGTGTGGTTTTACTACAAGAGCCTTGAAATTGAACCTGGTCCTTTTTTCCTGGGTATCAGTGCCTTGCTGAAAATGTAAACTTTCTAATACTAAGGGGTGTGCCACAGGGTGGCTCTCAAAAGGTATTTGAAAATCACATTTGGCCCTCAGTGAGGAAAAGACGATCTGATGGGCTCTTCTAGCCCAATGTCTATGAATCCTTTCACAGTTTCCCAGGGCACCCAGTGTGCTCATAACCCTTCTGCAGCAGCGGTGGGCAGGGGCTGCTCTTCCTGCAAAGAGAACCTTCCCTGTCCTCCTGCAGCCCATCCCGCTCTTCTGCCCCAGGTGCTGATTCCCACTTGGCTGGACCACGTCCTGGCTCCCTCCAACTGA